ATCCAAGGACTAAGAGGGAAGAAAGTGACAGAATGCATGAAAATTACTTCAACTATCAGGTAATTGTCAAAAGAAGTGGCATGGAATACTTGACATGACTCATTTAGGTAGGAGGTGACAGTGGGTAAAATTAAGAGAAGTTTGAAATAAAGTGATATTTTCTTTAAAGAGATATATTATCATAGAGGAAAAATGCCATAAAATCTGCATATGTACCTAAAACGCTGACACATTATGGACAGAAAAGAATGCACTGATGAAATAATTCATGTTTACGTTGATGAAAGGCTTATTACTATAAAGATTCCTTGTACAAGTCATATTTGATCCATCCAGATGTATGAATAATGCATTTGAATTATTTCGAAATATTAAAAAAACATACAACACTAATGATTTTAATGGTAGTTTAAGCCTAGCAAGATAGCTGACCTTAACATCAAGAAAACCAAAGTCATAGTACAGGGATGGCTAAGATAAAATATAAATCCAGATATTTTTCCCCTGCAAGTTATTTCAAGTAGTTGATTTCCTAAGATAGGAGACACAATTAGAATTGACTTTAGAAACTTATTCTACCAAAAGAATATATATATATGAAAATGGTTTGGGCCTCGATGTGGCTTGATATTTTTAGTATTATGATACCATGTGTGATCCTTAGATCAGCAAGAAGAACAGTATCTGGTAAGTGACTGAAAATGCAAATTTACATTTTAAAGATACTTTAATAAAAGAGCAAAGAACTTGTGGTGGTTTATCCACAACGCCTTACCAGTCAGTCACTGGTTAAAGTCTTTTGGGTCCCTTCCCCAGAGTACAAGGGCCACAGACACAAAACAGTACCAGCGACAAGGCAGCTATAAGTAGTCTTTTGCATGCTCAGGTGAAACTGAAGGGATGTGTGGGTTCATTTTTCATCACTGTGTCAAAATACCCAAGAAAAACAACTTAAAAGGAGGAAGGATTTATTTTTGGCTCACAATTTCAGAGCTTAGGGACCATGTGAGGGACACTTTTTTTTTCCTATGCCTGAGGTGAAACATCATGGCAGAGAGAGTATGGAGTATGATAGGCCAGAGACGCTCATTCCATATCCAGGAAGCAGGGAGGGGGTAGGGGGAAAGGAGGAGGATACATCACACACACACACACATACACACACACACACACACACACACACACACACACACACACACAGAGGGAGAGAGAGAGAGAGAGAGAGAGAGAGAGAGAGAGAGAGAGAGAGAGAGATCAATTAATTTTCTGCAACTAAGAAGCATCTTCTGTGATACTTCCCATGTCTATTCAAATCTTAAATCCAACAATAGATTAATCAGCTCATTAGTGTGGAGGCCTCAGGATCTTTTCCTATCTAGAAACACCCTCACAAACATACCCAGAGATGTGCTTTACGAATATCTCAGGCATCTCTCAATCCAGACAAGTTAACAATCAAGATTAACCAAGTATAGTTTCAGAAAATTTTATGAGAAAGATGTGCTACCTCAGCTGTGGTTGACATATTGTGAACCCCAATAAACTTATCTGGGGGTCAGAGAACAGAACAGCCACTATATTAAACACAGGTTTAGGCAGTGGTAGCACATGCCTTTAATCCTAGCATTCAGGAGGCAGAGATCCATCTGGATCTCTGTGAGTTCAAAGCCACACTGGAAACAGCCAGGCATGGTGACGCACGTCTTTAATCTCAGGAAGTGATGGCAGGAAGCAGAAAGGTATATAAGGCGTGAGGACCAGGAACTAGAGTCTTGTTAAGCTTTTAGGTGTTTAGCAGCAGTTCAGATGAAGATCCATTCCAGTGAGGACTCAGAGGCTTTCAGTCTGAGGAAACAAGATCAGCTGAGGAACTGGCAAGGTGAGGTTGGATGTGGCTTGCTCTGTTTCTCTGATCTTTCAGCGTTCACCCCAATACCTGGCTCCCAGGTTTGTTTTTATTAATAAGACCTTTTAAGATTCGAGTTACACTCAGCCATCATTATTATGTTAAGGTCAAGGATGAATTCAATGATCAGAAAGCAATAACGAGGCTTAAACAGTATACTGCAAAATGGTCATCAGCCACCCTCTCCATTTCTCTTTAGGACTATCAGAACACAAGTTGGGTATGGAAGGGAGTTGGTCTCAGTTGCTGCTGTACAATAAGTCTAGTAAACGGGAATCCCCAAAGCTGATGAGCTTTACTGGTCACTCTATGCTCTTAATAACCAAATGATACTTTTCTCTAAACCTTTATGTAAATGTCATGGCAGGGCATCATAGATGATAAAGATAGATGGATAGATAGATAGATAGATAGATAGATAGATAGATAGATAGATAGATAGATTACACACACACACACACACACACACACACACACACACACACACATATATATATGAGTGATTAAAAGAAACACAGAAACTTCAACTGATCCCCTGAATGAATTCATCTAATCCTACCACTGATTCATAGCAACCACATAGACTGCCAGCAGGGATAAGAAAAATCCCTCTGCAACCTTCCCTAAAGCTTTATTTCCAGAAATGGCCTTGAAAAAATGTAAACAATTGCCTGCAGGAATGATTTACTTCCCGAGACTCTGGTATTTACCCTTTATTACAATAATTTAATCATGTTTTCCCCCAGTAAGACTCCCATCACTGTCCTATCACAGCTTATCACACCACTTTCTCCAGAGTCACCACACAACTTCATCAAAAGATAGTATAATAAACACTGTAATCATATATATCTACTAAGAGTTCCCATAAACTTTCCCATCTCATTTTATGTTCCTAGGTTGATTTTTATGTAAAATATGACATTCTTGTCGAAGTTATATGATGTATTATGCACCTATCTTTCACGCAAAATAATTGCTTGTAATTGTTAGCCATTGATTGAGTCAAGGCCCTGATTCAATTAACCACTGGTTATATCAACCCCTGATCCAATAAAGCACTGATTAGGATCAACATCTGTAGCTGGAGGCTTTTTTGTGTCCTGCCCTGTCCAGTTGCCTCTTATAAGATAATCACTCAGAGGCTTATATTAATTATAAATATTTGGCCGATGGCTCAGGCTTATTACTAACTAGCTCTTACAACTTAAATTAACCCATTTTGCCACATGGCTGCGGCATTACCAGTCTGCTGGCATCTTGTTCCTTGGGTGGCTGGATGGCATCTCTCTCTCTCTCTCTCTCTCTCTCTCTCTCTCTCTCTCTCTCTCTCTCTCTCTCTCTCTCTCTCTCTCTCTCTCTCTCTCTCTCTCTCACCTCTGCCCTTCTTCTCCCTGTATCTCTGTTGGATTTCCTGCCTGGCTCTATCTTGTCTTGCCATAGGCCAAAGTAGCTTAATTTATCAACCAATGAAAGCAACACATACAGAAAGACCATCCCACAGCAAATATCAGATTAAATCAGTTTCAGTTTGGGGGCCCCCGAAATAAAGCACTGAAATGATTAGCTCTGGTAAAATTAGGCACCATCAATCCCTGGTGATATTTTATTTGTATTAAAATGTTATTTGTATGTTAATAAATAAAGTTGCCCAGGGGTCAGAGCTATTAGCAAGCCATAGGAAAGCAGGGCAGTGGTGGCGTACACTTGTAATGCCAGCACTTGGTAGGCAGAGCTTGGTAAGTCTCTGTGTGTTCAGGGATACAGCCATTATTGGATACACATGCCTTTAATTTCAATACCAATCATGGAAAACCTGGAGGCCTATACAGACAGGCTGTGACGAGGCGGTCATGTGGTTGGGTTTACAACCAATGAGAAGGCAGAACAGAAACTCTATATAAAGACTTTAACACAGGGGTAGCTCTGGTTCGGAGAGGTAGGACCACCGCAGGAGGAAGGGTAAGGTTTTAGCTCTTAGCTCTGACCTCTTGGCTTTCTTCTTTGCATTGGTTCTGTGTTTCTTATTTAATAAGAAGGTTGGTTGCATTTACAAATCCCCTTATTAGATTAGCCAGTACTTAGAACAAAACCCTGATTTGTAACAGTATTTATCAGATTAGCCACTTTTTAGATCAAGCTCAGACTGGATCAATTCTGGATCAGGCTGGCAACTGACTGAATCAACTCTAGATCAGGATCAAGTGCTGATCAATCTCTGATTTGGGTCAATTATTGATGGGATTGGACCCCTTTTTATTCCATTACTTGTGGTGGCCACAGAGGCTCTCTAGTGAGACCTTACTCAGGGTCACAGAATCTGAGCTTGCTTTGCCCAGCAGGGCTGCATAATGGGATAATTTGGCCAGAGGCGTGGTTACCAGGTGTTTGGAAGGGTCTACACTTGGCTGTACAGTGTGCTTTGATCTTGCAAGAAGGAGGTCTTTTGCCTCTCCCCTTGGCATATTATAAAAAGCCCTTTTCAATAAACCTCAGGGTGACTGGGTATTGACCCAGGGCCCTCCCAAAGCTATCCTGTGTCTTGGTCTTTCTTATCATCTCTTTCTATCTTTCTATCATTTCCTCATTCCTCTCTCCTCCCCCCAAGAACCCAGGTCAGAGCTGGACTCCAGCAGACTCCCACAATTGCTCCATTGATTGGAACTGTCCCTGATTGTATCAAGCCCGAAAATCTGGAATTCTAAGAAAAAATTAATAAGGATAATTATTCTTATGAAACCAAAATTCAGAAAATTTGGTTTCAAGGGTTACTGAATGATCCAGTGTCTGTATCCAAACTAAAAAAAAATGCTTTATTGTCCTGCCCATTCATTATGTTGAGATTATATGACACTTTTAAATGAGTAAATTTCCTATAAAATAATATTCCTCTTTCAAAAAAATCAGAGGATCACCAATGCTGATTTCAAATCTGCATAGCAACATCAGGCCTACCTTGTGCACAAACACCCAAGATTATTGTATTGATGGATGTACTATTGTACACTTGCTGTGCCTTCAGAAGCATTGGATTATAACCTACCATAAACATGATTTAGGACATAAAACTTTTGGAAATGTAACACTTTCTTACCTTATACACAGACGCCTCGTGCTTAGGGAATTTTCCTTGGGAATTCAGGCCTCTCTGACTTCACAAATGCAGTGAAGTATATGACTCGTGGAGCTCAGACAGTTCACCTACGATGACAGCACAGCACAGAAGACATTGTTAAAGTCAACAGAGATCGATTTCCTGTTACACACTTAGCAATACTCTTCTTGACTATATCTCAAGTCAAGTCCTGCAACTGCCTACAGAGCTTTTGCCTAAGAAATTCTACACCAGCATCAGCACAGCAAGGAAAAGCAAAAGGAATAAATGTAGAAGAAAATCATGATGAGAAGTTAAGCTTAAGAAATAAGTAGGAGCTGGAATGATGGTATAGTGGTTAAGAGCTACTCCAGAGGACCCAGGTTCGATTCCCAGCACCTACATGGCAGCTGACAACTATCTGTAGCTCCAGGTCTGTGGGATCCACTGCCCTTTTCCGGCCTCTGATGTCACCAGGTACACATGTAACAGGCAGCCAAAACAGCTCTACACATAAAAATAATTTAAAAATGTAAAGAGAAATAAAATTGTAAGTGAGAGAATGCCTTCTGCAAAAGGAAACTAATAGTTCTAATTATCTCTCAAGTCAACCTCATAAACTTAGTGCCAAAATATTTGTACAAATGCAAGCTCATGTAACTAGGTGTTTGAGCTAGCAAATAAATTGTTCAGAAGTTCAGTCTTCACTGGGATGAAAAACAATTGCCAAGTGGCCTGTCGCACTATTTCATAGTAATTTATCAGAGCTGATCTTTGAAAGTTTCTGAGCTTAGCTGATGAAAAGCGAAAATACTAAGTGGGAACTGTTATGATTTATTACTACCCCCCCTCCCTGCAAGGGTATCCCAAGTGTGCAGGGAAACATGCTGGGCAGATGCAGTAGCAGGCTGGGCAGATGCACACCATGTGATCATGGTGGTCGTAGCCAGGAATACAAAACCCAGACGCTGCATCCATGTGGAGAGTTTATTATAATAGAGAGATAAAAAGGCAGAGAGACAGAGTGAGAGAGAGGAAGGGAGAGAGAGAGTGAGGTGCACACCTCATGGGAGTGGAGGGAGAGAGAGAGAGGAAGGGATGGAGTTTTTCCTTAAAAAGAGACTTCTATGTTAAGACACAGGACGGCCCCAAGGGGCGGGATCAGAATATTAACAGGAGCTATGCTTCTACTTATGGAATCCATTTTCTCTCTCTCTCTCTCTCTCTCTCTCTCTCTCTCTCTCTCTCTCTCTCTCTCTCTCTCTCTCTCTCTCACACACACACACACACACACACACACACACACACACACGTATATATCTTTATGTATAAATACACACACACTTTTATAGGCAGAGAGGGGAGAGGAAGAGAGAGATTGAGAGAGAGAGATGACTAGGAGAAAGTTAAGACAGAGAGAGAAAATTCAGAGACGGAAAGTCTTATTTGGAAAGTTAACAATGAGGCTCAGAACCTCAGTTCTAAGTTTATTTTCCATTCAACCCAAAGTTTTAAAGCATGTGACTTAGAAAAGACAGGTTGAGAAAATACAAAGGAACACAAAAGTCATTGTAATTAACTGTTTCTGTCAACAGTTTAAAGCCATGGGCTGAATGAATCATGCCAAAGCTTGGGGTGAGATTGCTGCTATTGGAGAGATGCCACTGAAGAGCAAAGCTTTCCTACTTTGTAGGACAGCAGAAGGACTATTAAGTTAGTTTTAAGCACCTGTACCTGGCACAGGGACATTTTTTATGACAGAAAACCATATAACAAAGGACGTTCCTAGAAAAGGTTTCCCTATTTATATTCCTATAAATTCTACAGGTCCAGTGAAACTACTGTAACTGCTGTGAAAAGGTTAAAAATGTGCAGATAGATCATATATGCCCTTCATATTTCTCAATAATTTGTACAGGAGTATTACCTTAGCCCATGTGTCCCCCAGATAGCATTATAGCCCAATCCCTTTGAAGAAACAATAAAGAAAATATATATCACGTATATGACAATCACTAAGTCCATTTCTGTCTATATTAGTAAAATACTACATTTGAAATGCTCATTGGGTGCCCCAGACATCTTCACATCTACTGTGTACCTGATTGATGTGCTCATGGGAAGAAAGGATATTTAACAGGATAAGTCCTCACCGGTACTCAATTGATTCACTGTGTTGCTAGGGTTGTGAATCAAATTGCCAGGTAACTAAGCACATGACCTCATAATTCTGAAGGTCAGACCTTTGGGTGGGCATGACTTGGGTCATCAGGCTGCCTAGGCTAGGTTCTCTAAGGTTCTGGTTGGAAGAATCTGCTTGAACAGAAAGTCATCAAGGTTGTTGGCAAATAGTTCCCCTTTCACTTCTGGTTGCCTTTCATGGCTTAGAGGACATCTACATTTCTTCACACATTGTCCCCTTAATTTCAAAGCTAGGAATGGTGCATCCTAGTCTTTTTTATTTTGAATCTCTCTCACATTCCCTTCTCACATCTTCAGTCATCAACTGGATATAGTTCTCTGCCCTACGAGCTTGTATTTTGGTTAGGTCCAATCACTTTACTTCAAAAAAAATCTGTCCCAAATGACAAGCTGTTATGGAATATATTTTAAGGTGTGTTACATTTTTTCCTACTGCTTTTGTTAACAACGCAAAGACATGTTACATTTGTTTGATTAAATAAAATAAAATTAACCTGCAGTCAGGAGGCTGAGTCAGCAACTAGCTGACAGGAAGTGGTAGGGATTGGAACCATGTGTAGCTAGGGTTCTTAAGTGGGGGCAGTGCTGGATTTTTAGAGAGCCATGAGCTAGGAGAGAAGGTTAGCTACTTGCTATTCAGCCTCTCTGAGCAAGCAAGCAGAATTTCACCCCTACCTTTGAATCCTGATTTCTATAGAGGGTTAGAGATATAGATAAAGCTCCCTTAGTGGCCTTGAAAGAGCCAGTGCCTGAGGGAGCAGAATTCCAGCTCGCTGCTGCCCTTACATCAGATCGGCTGCTGGTAGCTGCAGAGTCGCAATTGCTGATTAGGACAGCCGTTGATTAAGAGGCAGCCACTGAATTTGATGAAAAACAACAAGCCACAACGACAACAGTATCTCATTATATACACAGCTTCTGGAGATAGAGACTCATAATCTGATGCACCATTTATAGAAAGTATACTTCTCATATCTATCAATTCACATTTTGGGGATTGTAAGGACACTTCTCAAGCACAGCACAAACCACACAAACTTTTAGGTGATGAATATCATTCTGAATGTCCACTAAAGGGACCCTCAGATTTCTGATAGGCTATAAGAATCTGCCAAGCAGGATTCTGAGGGTTGTCAGTCACCACAGCATCAGTCAGGAATATGCCACCTCTAGATCTCTAAGGGAAGTTGGTAATATATTGGATATGAGCAATCTGGATGAAAAGGCTCTCTGACCTTTTAAAATCTCATGAATTGTTATTGAGATTTTAATAAAGGTCTTAAGAAGCTGGGAGTATATAACTCAATCAGTAATGTGTTTGCTGTACAAGCATACAGACCTCAGTTTGATTCCCCAGAACCCACAGAAGAGTGGGGCCTGATGGTGTTCATTTATAATCTTAGGACACAGAAAGCAGAGACAGGTGGACCCCTGAAACTCCCTAGCCAGTCAACCTAGCCTAGCAGAAGAGCTCCAGGCAGTGAGCAATCCTGTTAAAAAATAAAATTTTACAAAAGGTACACTGCACCTAAGGAGGGACACCCAAGATTGAACTTTGACCTCCACACAAAACTGCATATACACCCATACACACACGGTACACAGGAACATAAACACAGAGAGACTCACATACACAAAAATAAATGGTAATGACATTTAAGTGATAGTCAACCCATTGGTGACTATAACATATCGAAATGACAGTTATTGAAGCAAGATGACGTCAATATTAAAACAGTATAATTTTTCTATTTTTTAATACATGTAGTTGTCATAGACTACTTCCTGAAAATGAACACAAAAATACTCCCTATGACATTTTCTGCCAGCTTCATCTGTTTTGAGGTGTTTGGGGTGTCAGTTGGGTATAGATTTACAATTGTCACATCTTCTTGATGGAACACATTGGCATTTTATCGTTTTAAAATTTGCTTCTTTGTCTCTAGCAACAATTGTGTGGGGGTGGTGTATGTATGTGGAGAAGCATGCATGACTGTTCGCATGGGCACACGTAGAGGCCAGAGGAGGGGCACTGGCTCTCTTCCTCTATCACTTTCAGCCTTATTCCCTTGAGACAGGGTCTGTCACTGAGCTGGAAGTTCAGGGTTTCAGCTGAGCTGGCTGGCCAGTGAGCTGCAAGGATCTGCTTGTCTCTAAGCCCGAAAGCTAGGGTTAGAGGCATGCATGGCTGCACCTGTCTTTTTATGTGGGTGCTGAGGATTTGAACTCGGGTCCTCATGCTTTCCACTCACTGAACCATCTCACCAGCTACTATAGCAACAGTCTTTCTCCAAGTCTATTGTGTGTGATAGAATAGCTTTCTTAAGCCCTTTTGATTACTGTTTGCATACTGCATCTTTTTCTAACCTTTAACTTTCAACCTATTTGTGACTGGACATAAAGAATGTCTCTTGTAGCCAGCATATAGTTGGTTATTTATATTTTTAATTCTATCGTGCCAATTTAGGCCTTTTGATTGGAGAGCCCAATTTACTTATATTTAACAAGATTACTAATAAAGTAGGATTTGTCTCTGAAATTTTTATTTCTGATATGTCTTGTTCTTTTCTTGTTATGCTATTCCGTCATTATTGCCTTTTTGTGTTAAAATGGTTCTGAATAGCACACAGCTTAATTCATCTGTCATTTATTTAGATATATTATTTCATTAATGATTGCCTTAGAAATTTCAATTAAACCAACTTTTTTTCTGTATTAGATATTTAACCTGGAGCCTCAGGCATGATGGATAAGTGATCTACCACTGAACTATGTATGTTCCTACCTCTCTCTTTACTTTTCATTTCTGAACTGGTTTCACTCAGTTTCACAGGCTGGTCAAGAACTCATGTAACAGGCTCCCAGACCTTAGCACAACTAACTCCATGATGGAAGTGCCATTCAG